TGCGTGCGTGCTTTGTCCAAGTGTTAGGAGACCAGAAATAAAGATAGAAGACAATAAGAAAAATGAAAAGGTCGACTTTACCCCACCCTGAGAGAGAACAGGGATCAATGCCTCTCCCTTCACAAGGCATGCACACACACACACATACGCATGTGCACGCGTGCGCACACACACACACACACCACCACACACATAGAGGTATTTGCTTTATAGTGTAAATCCAGGTCAAATAATTCAAGGTTTGGGAAAAGGAGTTGCATTGATTATCATGTTCAGGTGAAGTTGAGAAGGCTGGATTCTACAGGCAAACAAACTTTTAGAATTGAGGTCAGGTTTTCCCAGAGAGAAAACTGGTTGGCACTGTATGGAAATAAAGAAATATTTATGTCTTTGAAGCGAGAGAGAGAAACAAGGAAGGATCGTAATATAGGAAAACACCACCAGATCTGTGAGATACCTGTTAAGAATTTCTCTTTCTAAGTGGTTATGCTTGTGTTTCTTTTTCCTTGAACATTGGAATCTCATGAATTTAGCATTCAGTTTTAAAGGATTTTTCCCCTCCCTATAAATGAAAGTACCTCAAATTATGACCAAACTTACAGCAGTCAGTTACGCAGAACAGACATGATTTAGCTCATGTTATGGGAAATTCAAGGATAGGCAGTGTCTACACTTGGGATGAAGTCCATGGTCTTCTCACTCAACCTGTATTTTGAAGCCAGCACATGGGTAGCAGTTCGGTATCACCAGGACAATAATTCCATAAATTCGAGGTAACCAGCAACAAAAGAAATGGATGCCTCTGACAGCACCAGCATCATAATTTGAACTCAGACAAGAGAAGGTGAGTAAAAGTCCAAGTGGAAGCTCTCAGGAAGTGATGTCCAACAAAGCTTCCCTTTCCCCTGAATATACAAGAAGAAAATGATTTCTGGGAAGGAGATATGGACAGGCAAAGACAGCATTTTTGCAGGTGGAAAACACTCTATTAAATAAGCATGTAAAATATGTTAGAAATTGCAGAATTATCACTTTAATCTATGTCACATCCACTTCTTGGCATTACGCATACGCTATCTCATTATTACAACACTTTATGAGATTGGCTCTTATTACTATTGTTGTTATTATTATTATACCCATTTTGCAGATCAGAAAATAGAGGGTACAAGAGGAAAATAATTTCCACAAAGTCATCTAGCTAGGATTAAAACAGCAGCTAAATCGATATCAAAACCCATGATTTTTCCATAAAAGAGACTTTACAGTAAGATGAAGAGAAAGAAAGGGGTATTTCAGGGAGGAGTTCACATCAGCGTCTCTGCTATTCCCAGCGGATACTGCTTCCTTCCTGCTGGCAGAAGGCCTCAATTGTCAATTAAAGCAATGCTTGTAGGGCTTTGTAAGTGAGGCTTCCGACCTCATTAGGTCTATGAAAAATAACAATAAATTAAAGTGTCTGTTGCAAACAGAAACAACTGCTCAAGCATGATTATGGCTAATAAACAACTAGTCTAAATTCAATTTTAACTTATGCACATTTTATCATTAGTAAGTCATCAGACATAATTAAACTTAAGTTAATAACTGCAGTCCAAAGAAGTAACATTTAGCGAAGATGACAACTTAAAGATCAAGAGCCATATTTCACATGAGTGGATACAAACAGTGAGGGGTATTTATAGACCCTCAGTGAAAGTCTATACCAGACTTTCCCGGAAAGGTGGTAGCAAAGGTGGTGGAAATTAGCGCATAAAGATCACCTCTAGGTGATTCATGGCCAGGTAAGCTGGGACACATTTCACTGAACTGAACAGTCATGGGTGTTGAGCCCTGACATCAGGGTTACTCAATCAATGATTTGAAGTAAAGAACTGACCCCCTAAGTTTCTAATTGATTTGAAATGTGAGAATAGGGTAAAAGCAAGTACAGCAAGGGAGAGCATGGTGAATGTGAGCCCTGGCT